AGAGTTATTTTGAGCCTTTAAAGGGGTCCATCTCGTAAAGTATTTTTAGGACCGTTCGTTCCAAGTCTTCAAAGATGAATCTCTAGCAGAAATGGATTTGCAAAAGATTTGGGATGTGCTTGAAGTCCTAAACCTATCAAAAAACAGGAAGGATGCATGAGCCTGGAGGTGCAAGAAACCTTGTCCCATCTTAAAAAGAATTAGAATTATGTTGATTGGCACCTGTTATCAAACAAGTCATCAAGTCAATTAAGGATAGTTACTAACTGAAAATGTATATTGTATGCTATTGCCTTCCCAAACAAATCAAAGATCCACTCCCATGCAAATAATAAATTGGGCAGTAAGTAACATCAACTTTAGATGTTTCCAGTATAGTGGAAAATGACTTCAACACAATTGGTTATTTCATAAAAAGCCAAATTGAAGCATCCTGACTTAACTTTCATTACCATTATCATAATCATCATCATCATCATCATCATCATCACCACCATCATCATCATCATCATCATCCATGCCTTATCCCAATTATTTGGGGTCAACTACACGAATCATATTCCGCTATTCCGTTCTATCAAGAGCCACACCCTCAATCAGACCATAAGTCATCATATCCCTTCTCACTGCTTCCATCCATGTCCTTTAAGGCCTTCTCCTTACTCTTTCAGAGCCTTACAGTTGAACCAGATCACCCATCCTTACTGATGCTATACTAGGGCGATGATGCACATTGCCAACCCACCTAAGTTTATTTCTTCTTATCTTGTCGCCTATTGGGGTCAATCTTTTGGTTCCCTTGGGCGTATTCATTCCCCATTCTATCCTTTCTAGTCTTGCCACTCATCCATCTCAACATCCTCATTTCAGCTACACTCATTCTATGGATATGTTGTTTCTTGACCACACAATATTCTGCCCCATAAAGCATGGCTGGCCTTAGAGTCGTCCTATAGAACTGTCTTTTTAGTTTCATTGGTATGCAACGATTAAAAATTCTGGAAGCACATCTCCATTTCGCCCATCCAGCTCTAATTCTATGTATGACGTCTTCCTCAATCTCTCCATTCTTATGGATTATCGACCCACTGAACTTGCATTACCATAAAAGCGAAATGTAATAGATGCTAGTTGTACACCAACCCATTACCATGTGCTCGCTTCCAAACCATCTCATTATATGCAGCAGTTTATTTGTATATCTGCGTCTATATGGAATTTAAAATAAACTATAGTACTTCCTATGATTTGGAACCTCAGCCAAAGTTCAAATTCTTACAATATAAGGTCCGATAAAATGGATGATAATGACAATTACTAAGTATCTGGAGAGCAAATAGACACAAACCTATTACTCATGCATAATTGAAGATTTTCTATTAATGTTGTGGTATCTGGAATTTTTGTACTCAAGGGAATTTTAGTTCTCTGCCTCAAAACTGCGTTGTATGCAATTGACTTTCACTCAATCCACAAGTCAATGAACTAATTTCCTCTAATGAAACATAGACTAAGACAATATCAGAAAATTTTAAGACACTTACGCACATCTATTTGAAAACCCAGATTCGGCACCACTTATGGCACCAGAGGATTGCAGGTGATCGGATATTTGGATTCGTGATCATTAGGGACGATTTCAAGAATCTTTCAGAATCCTTTTGCCTTTTTCTTTCGCTACCCAAAAAAAAAAAAAAAAACAGTAGCGCATATGTGATCAACTTCTCTTAAGATTGCAAGGCTTGAATCATCACCGCAAGTCAAGTCAAGTCTAATGCAAGAGAGATGAAACCATATTGACCTTTCAACATGAAGATAATGGAGTAGCATAAAGTGTGGTTCTCATCCAGCCATAGAGGGGATTGAGCACTAACAATTAATCAAAGGTTCTATTTTCTTCCTACAAATTTTGGTTTACGTGAATGCACATAAAAAATGTCATAAAGAGCAACCAGGGGATACTACTTGATCAAATCATATTGTAATTGCTTCTCACTCATGCATCCCCTCACAAAAATGTCAATGGAACACAATCATCAATAGAACAGCCAAAACCCTTGGTGAGGCACCAAATGGGGTGGCACTATAATTTGTAGAATTTATCCAAATATCTTCAGGAAGAAAAAGAAATACAAAAGGCCATACTTATCAGGATGAGCATATTTGTTCCTTAGTGATCCATTCGTTAAAGTATATATTCAGTGGTAAATTTGGTTGGGACTTCATGCCGACTAAAAACTACAAAAGCTCATGAAAGGATTCCACATCGGTTATTTTTCCGTCATATTAGCAGGGTTGTCGCATCAGTTAACATGTAAAGTCAACAGATAAAAAGATCATAAAAAACAAGACACCAAAAATCAGTGAATAGGATCAGAGACTATACCTGTGTACACACATGTAACATAGAGCAGGTTCTCTCGAGGTCCAGACATTGCTTCTCGTGGAGTTGCATAACCTGGCCCATTTTGATTGCAGCAACCGGACTGGATCTTCGCACAACTGCTAGGAGTAAGCTTGTGATCAGAAGACAGTGGCTCAGTGAGTCCAGTCGCCATTTAAATTTCCCCTCAACTATGTATCAGCAATGCCCTGAAAACAAACAGCTATTTCCATCAAAAAGTAGCAATCCAGTACTTGGACTAACCATTGTTTTGTTCTGTAAGAGATGCCTGCCTATGATGCACACAAAAGGCTACAACATTAGTTCTTTATTTTATTTTTGCTTTTTACGAATTTCTAATAAGCATCTAAGCAAACGATCACAAGATCTATGAATATATAGTAAAAATAAATCAGAATTGAGTAAAGAAAGCATATAACAAACCAAAAGAAATAGATTTCTAGAGAAGAAATACACGGATAATGGAGGAGCAATTCAATAGGACTCAGGAATTTTTCTTCATACAAGGCACTTATGGGAGCTGTGTGATCACAGTTCTAGAGGAGAAAAATGGAGGTCAATATAGGATAAATAGCTTCCAAAATTAATATCTTAAATTAAGTCTTCGATAAAATCGATAGTTTATGGAAAGGAAAAAAGAGGGAACACCTAACTAATTTATTAAGAAAGAGGGGGCTCCTCTTAGTTTCGATTCAATCGATAAAATAAAAAACAAAAGAGTCAAAGATGTTTGTATTATTGCTTGCTATATCTGGCACAACGACATATCAAAACCGAGAACAAACCAAAAGAAGTGGCAAAAGAGATGATAAAGAAACAGAGCATGTTACTAAATCTCTATCTGACGAAAGGACAAACCAGAACTAAGCATAAAACGCACGAGGAAGTTCAGGAAAAGAGAGAGAAAGAGCTTTCTGTAATCTCCAAACATCAATTTCAATCCGCCAAATCTATTCTCATAGAGATTCCAATTGATCAGGCGAACTGAAACGCCATTACCACATAATTATAATACAATTGGAGTGGCACAGATTTTAAGAAAGAGAAAGAGAGAAATATTACCTCAATTTGAACCAGCAAAATCAATGACTAGGTTTCAATAAGCAAAACCAATAACTACAATTTGAACAAGCAAAATCAATGATATGTTTCAATGAGCAAAACCAATAACTACAAATTCACAGACTTGATGTATACCATAGATAAAGAGAGAGAGCTTACAAAACGTGGAAGTTCCTTGACTTCACTGTATGCTTCTGATGATTTAATTTCCTGCGTGTACCTCAATGCTTATGCGGTCTCCATCAATAAAAGCTCCAAAAAACACGAGGCAAAGAAACCCACATAATTCTTGCAACACAAATAAAGCCTCCGTGACGAATGCGTTATATTTATAATTGGAAAAGAGTAACCGAGGAAGAGCGAGCGGGCGGGCGGGCGGGCGGGCGGGCGGGCTCACACGCCTGCAAAGTCACAATTGAAAATAATAAGTTGTTTCATGTTTCATGAGTCAGCAGGCGCATGGTTTAAGGTATTGTCATAAATGCATACGTTATCTAAAAGTATATTATCCATAAATAAAATATGGATCGTGCAGAAAAATACTAAAAAAGTATATTTTAAATTTTAATTTTTTTTTTAATTTTATCATGTTTATAATCATCTTGGCTTAAATAGAGTTTCAAATAAAAATAAAAAATAAAAAATCATCTAAAATAAATTTTAGTGGGAGGCTGCATGTGTACACATGAATCTGCCAACTCATAGAAACTCCATCTGGAAAAAAAAAATGTATAGGGGGGATGAACGTGGTAGTGGAAAGAACATGGAAACAAATTCTACAGATTATCTTCGGCCACGTGTTCTTCTTCCAACGGCTCGATCTCTCTCTGAATTGGGAATCCATGAGGCGGACAGGTAATTGCGAGGCACAACGCGAGGATTGCGTGATTGTGTTATTTAAGGGATTAGATATTGTTTATTGACTCTTGCATGTGTTACGGAGTATGAGGATAGGGTGGTCCGGTTTTGGGAATGATACGGTTTTGCCGGTTTATTTTGACTTTGCCGTGGCAGATGGAGCGCGAGGCTCGTTATCCTTGAGAGATTAAATTTGGACGAAGCTGTTTAGTTTTCAGCATTTTTTCAATTAATTAGGATCGGCCTAATCTTATTTAATCCATTTAGGCAACACTCAATTTAGGAATACACTCTTTTTAGGTCCCAAGATGTATCCTCTACAACCTATATGTCATACTCAATTTAAAAAAAGGATTCTAAATTGCATTCTCCGTGGGCTTGAAAAAAGACTAACGTTTCAAGAATAAATAGAAACTGTTCAATTTTTTAAAGGTAATAGAAAGCTCAAAGTTTTTTTTTAAAAAAATCCTTTTGTAGGAGACACTCAAGAAATTGAGTCTTGTTGTTAATCTTTTTAACGAAATATTTTATGTTCCCAAAGGAGCATTGTCCGTTTACTCCCTTGAATAAAACCCAATCTAATAGTATTTTTAGGATCATAAATTTTGGAAACATAATCTCTTCAATCAGATGCTAAAGTTAATAAAAAATTTAATTCCAAGTTGCATTTTGTATGGGTTTAAAAAACTAATGCTTCAAGATTGAATAGAAACCATCAATCTTTTAAAGCGTGATATTAAAGGGACAAGAATGATTATGACCTCCAAGTACAAAAGACAAATGGTCTTTTATAGACAATCCCATAAAATAAGGGTTTACAAAGAGACCATTTATCTTTTATACACGAAGATCACAATCATTCCCATTTATTAGTATCAAATTGGATGGCTTGGAGTGGGTCACGAAGGCTGAGAATAGTTTTTTTGGAACTTTGTATCTATTCAATGACACTCTTACAACCACCCATTTTGAAATTTAAGGGACAAGAATGATTGTGACATCCATGTACAAAAATAAATGGTCTATTTGTATATAATCCCATGCGAAGAAACTATTTATCTTTTATACATGGAGGTCACAATCATTCTTGTTCTTTAAATTTCAAAATGGGTGGTTGTAAGAGTGCCATTGAATAGATACAAAGTCACCCCAATACATCTAATTTGATATCTAATAAGTGGGAATAATTGTGACCTCAATGTACAAAAGATAAATGGTCTCTTTAAAAATATAGTCTTTCTTACTACCTTCAACTAGAACATAGGCCACCCTTACTAAAAAACCACAAAGCTTTTGGTAGTATCATTTACACCTCTACGCTTTGTACCTGTTTGGATAACAATTAAAATTATTAGGACTTCGGCAGTAGCTTAACAAAACATCTGAAATTAATATACTTTGCTATTTGATATGGTACAAATCTTGTATTATTAATAATATTATTTAATTAGGAAAAAAAGTTTATATGAGGTTGAAACTTTAAAATTTAGAATTAAGTTGCACCTCAAAAATACATCATAAAAAGTTGTTTTGATATTGGAAAACCCTCTAATTGATCATCTCGACATCGAAATGTATGAATATGAAAAGGAAAAAAGATTTCGAATCCTAAAATTAGTTTATCTTGCAACACTTCATCTAGACAATCTATTTTCAAGATTTACAGGTGTTTATACATCTACATAATTTCAACCATTTTTAAAGTTTAAGATTTTATAATTAGATATGAAAATAGATTCTCAAGCCATCTTAAGAATTTTTAATACCAGAATTATATTTATGATAAATTTGGATGTGTACCTTAATTTGATTGTTTAAGGTTGCAATCTTATACAAACCATACCCTTTAGTTATTTAACTTGTTCACTAATTTTCAATTATTTTAGTTATTTTCTTGCTAAAAAATGTGATTATTTTTAAGAAATTACTTTGAGTAAAATAAAAATAAATTTTCAAAAAGATAAACTTACATGTAATATTGTCTCTATGTTTATTTTAGATAATTTTATGACAGATACTAATAAATGAAAAATAATTCATTATCAGGAGAGATAATAATGACAAATAATTCATTACCAGAATAATTTTATTGAAACAATAATTATCAGTAACAAAAAGTAAATCCAAACGAACGCACAAAAGGATTTTCTCATATAGATAAAATAAAGCTTATGGACTTTGCGTTGCTCCTTCCCATATTTTTCTCACCAAATCGCCTCATGCAGCTTTTTCTTAGAATTATAATTACTCCTTTTACACCAAAGGATGATGTTTCTAACAGTCAACCAACTCATATGTACCATATGTACATATGCGTCCCCTCTCTAAAATACATGTTTTAAAAAAAAGTTTTCATCCAAAATTTTAAACATTCACGATCTAGACCAAGGTGATCATGAGTATGAAAAAAATCAAATTATAAAATCTAGAATATGTCCTTCTATGGGGAACTCTCTTTGTACCATCTATATTGCATTTTTGTCTGAGCCACTTTACACCATGTCCATCTTTTTGTGGGTCAGCGGGCTCTTGCACCTGCTGACTCACAAAAAACATTTCCTACACCAAATCATCTCTCTCTCCCTCTCTCTCTCTCTGACCAGTAAGAAAATTACTATTCTACCAGCCAATATTTGTGTTAGCTTTTACAAAGATTCAAGTGTTAGAAATCCCAACTTTAGCGTTGGCCTTCCAAACACGATATATCTATCTATAAATTAGACTAAAGTGACAGTAGGATATTGGGTGATGTTAAAGTTTTTCGATAGTAAGGTTTCAATAAGATAAACCTAACAAGAACAATCTAAGTTTTAAAGTGACGAACAAATGGTTGTCATGTATGTCGTATATCGGTGTACACTAAGGACACACATGTCCATGTTACATAGCTTATAACTTATTTTTGTATTTGATCGATCCATGGACCCCACCAACTAAGGTTCTTTCTTCCCCATCCATCCTCCATCTCTACCCCTGTAAACACTCGAATTCTTAAAATTATCGCACATTTGGTCTTAGTTCATAACTAATTGACTCTTGCAATACAAAAATTGATGATAAAGGCGCATTTGGTACGCATGACAAAGAGTCATTTTTCACGTGAGATTAGGTATGGGACCCATTTTTCACACCAATCAATTGGTGTGACTGCCACACTTAATCATGTGGGGGAGTTCTTTCATGTGAAAATACTTCCACGATAAATTTTTCATGTATACTAAACGTACCCTAAGATCCTCTGACTAGTAAAGTATCATTGAGTAGAACCTGTAATCCTTGAACCCAGAAAGAACTATGGAGCAATCAAGAATAAACAATCAACAAATTGGTTTTTGAGGCTAGGAACCCGAGCTTTGAACGTAAATATTGTTGGCTATATGGCCTTTCAAGGCTTTAAAGCCAACAATTTTACGCTCAGTGGGAGTTACAGAGAGATTGAGTCGGGGTGCTTGGCGCATTGGAGCCCAGATTCATATATCCAGAGTATTTTAGGCATTGAGAGTATACGTCTTGAGAGTGTGAACTCTCGGAGAGGTGTGAGGGTCACCTCCCAGTCCGGACTATATTGATTAGAATGCCTCATAGTTGATGTGATAAGTCAGGACTTGAAAAATCCAATCGAGAATAATAGAACCTGAATATTTAAAAGAGTATTCGCCCCGTATGGAATGGTCGGCTCATGGGACATGAGCCCATATCCTGACACGAAACCGTTCTATGGCATGTGCACCCTTAGTAGTATGAAGAAGTCACTTTTCTATAGTCTTATCCGACTTAGAAGAGCTAGTGCACTTGTGCTTTGAGAGGACCCCTATAATTAAGTAGGGACATGTCCCACATGGATGCACCAGTAATCATTTGAACCCCCAGTGACGAAAAGCTCTCGCTCAACGACTTTGATGTGACCAATTCTTTGTTTCTGCCATAGACTGTAGAGCATAGGTCCATTGGATCAACTTGAGACACCGGTGGAACTTCATTCGGGTTAGCCCAATGGAAGACTCTAACAAGTGTTATAAGTCTAGATATCTCATTTACCTTTGGCCCAAATTAATCTAAAATTGATGAGAAAATATTTTATATTGATGATAAATTGTGTCATAATGTTGAGAAATCATTTAGAGAATTTTTTAAATTTTTGAAGAATTATTCAAATTTTTTTAAACAATAAAAATATGATTTTCAAATTTGTTTGACATAAATATCAAACAACGACATTCTATAAGGATGGCACATGGATCCCAAGTGGCCATAGGGATGCCACGTGGCACCCCCACTTCACCACTCGTGGATGACATTATGCTGAGGTCATATCCATGTGGGGACCTATTTATCATTAATTCTTTTGTTGGTATTATATTATAACATATTATCATATTATTTAAAGTGTTATATATTGTTATGACTTAAGTTTGATTTAAGTCACATTTTTTTTTTTTTTGCTCATATGTGTCATT